ATGATCGGAATTTGATGTTTTTTCAAATGCCTTACAAGTTTCAACACTCCTGGCAATGGTTTGCAGTGTGGAAACAAGTCCTTGTAAGCTTGTTTCCTTTCAACAAGGTATTCGTCGGGTGTTAGCGGTATCTTTGTTGTTTCGATCAGCACCAGTGCTGCGTCGTATTCTTTCCTTCCCATCATCTGCTTTTTAAGCTCCCATTCAAATGTCTTGCCAAACCTTGCCAAAATGTCTGAATTTACCTTTGTGTACACGGCTTCAGTGTCTAAAAGTAATCCATCCATATCAAATAATACATGCGTAACTGCTTTGATCATTTTGATGTTTTTTAAATGGTGTTTTTTTATATGTGAAAGAATACTTTTGCAACGTGTCGGTAATGAATCATGCCAGCGCTATATGATTTCAACTCTATAAAAGGCGACCAGAAAACTAACCCAGAACTCTAATGTGTTACTCGGACTGACCATTATAACATGCCAATCATGCATAGAGTTTATCGAATCTGAATACTTTTATTGATAAAATGGTGCACTAACTATCTGTTTTTTTGAGACTGCAAGCCCTTTTAGCTCAGTGGTAGTAGCGCTTGCCTAGTAAGCAAGAGGTCCTCTGTTCGATCCAGGGAAAGGGCATTTTTTGTTTTTTCTACCTACAACAAATTACAAACATAAAGTTGAACAGTAGGTTAAACACAATAGTATTTGAATTCAATTTTTATTCTTCACGATCTTATTGGGGCTACTACGGATTTGGTGAAGTTTAGGAGTATTTGATTGAGCATTTTGAAAAGAGCCTCCTTGCTTTTTGGATGAATTGCCTTTTCTTTTCTTTTGGAATTGCTTGTTTGGTACATTTGGTTGATTCGCTGGATTTTTCAATGCAAATATTTGGGAATTAAAAGCGCCTTTCTTTGAGGTGTGATTCGGCTTTGAATTTGCACTGGGATTGCCCTTTTGTTGATTACTTTGGATAGGAGTATTCGGTTTGTGACTGGGCTTTTGTTTAGGATGTGCGTGGTTTGGATTAGGCTTCTTTTGGTGAGTAGAATTCGCATTCTTTTGTGGCGATTGTTTCTGGTTAGAAGGAACCTTTTTCTGGTGAGGATTCGGTTTTGGACTTGATTTGTTATTTGGATGCTGTTTCTGATTGCTTAATTGCTTCGGGGGAGACTGCTTGTTTACATTTGGGTTCTTTTGAATGTTATTTGGCTTGTGGATCTTGTTACCCCCATGGTAATGATTGGTATCAATGGGCCGCTTATTTGATGGAGATGCATTTGAGGTGCTTGCAAAAGCATGTTTGTTACCCTTTGAGTCAGACCAGAAACTGTTCTGTAAATGCAAATTTCCATCCCATAGACTCAGTCCCATCCTAAGGCCAAGTTTCTTGAATTCAACTCTTTTTCCAACCTCATCCTGCGAAATTTCAACAATTTCATTACACAAAAATCCAATATATGCTCCACCATCAAACTGTAGGCTGTTATTAGCTGCTATTGTCAATAGCCTGTTGTATGATTTGTTGAATTCAGCGAATATGGTATCTATTAAACTACAGCCTTTTGCAGTGTTATTTGTTTGGTTAGTTGGATCCAACAACAGCATTTTAGGCCTTGCATACCCTGAATAAGCAAGTTTAACTTTTTCGGGTTCAATTTCGTTATAGTAATATTCTTTGTCTACCATGATAACAGAACGATCTCCTTCCATGCCAGTTGGCGCCAATCCTACAGAATTGATATCCAAAATCCTACCATAGAAATGGAAAAAGTCAAGGAGAATTTTCGCTTTTGAATTGGATTTGGTATAAAAATCCAGTTTTGTATCTTTATACAACATTGGGTATAATTCTAGAAAGGAAAGTACCAACAAAAATACAGCGAATCCCCCAAGACCGCCATTCGCATTGTTATTCAAATCCCTATTTGCCAAATACAATTTCAAAAACAACACCATCCACTTTATATCAGGATATTCCAACAACTTTTCTGTGACAAATACCGCTACTTTGGTTGTATTTTCTGCAGTATTGTACGATATATCAACATTCAATTTTGACCGAGCATCGACCAGCTTGATGATGGGGATTTTTGCTTTCTTTACTAAATAAATATAATTGGTGTGCGGATGCAATTTGCGTGTCAGTTTTGATAATACCGATGACATTCTCTGTCCAGGAATATTTTCTTCTTCCCCATTAATAATAACTAAATCTATGTCGCTGTTTGGAAGATATAATCCGTTGCAGCAACTTCCAAACACTTTTACTTGGTAGTTGGGAAACCGTTCTGTTATAACATTTCGATATTGCTTTATAACAATCCGTCTGATTTCTTCTTCCATTGCTGTTGGACTAATGTACATTATTAAACACTCTATTTCATCGTCCAATCGTTCCATTGGCTCTTGCAGTGGTTCATAAACTGGCAGCCATATGATATTTTTCATTTGGAAAAAAAGAATGAA